CGCTATTATATATATATATATATATATATATATATATAAATATTAAATGAAGTGTCACAACTTTTCGAAAAAAAAGAGCTGTAGCCAACAAGTACTGAATTTTGTAACAAATAAAACTGAGCAGTCAAGGGAGTCTGAACAAGCCCTTGTCAGAAGAACCTGCTAGTTTCTCTTTGCCGACAGCAGACTTTTGGTCTTCCCATTTTTAGCTCGATCGAGAATTAAGTAAATGTTATAAAAACTTCATGTGTTTATGCGCACGTGATAATATGCACTTATTTTTTCCTGATATTCACCTGTTAAGCCTGGGCTTAATGGCCTGAAGGCAGGTTCGAATTCGCCTCTGCTTCCTGTGGTTAACTGTCAAACTTGTGTAGTTGATAATGGTACTACCAAAGATATCATTTTTTAATGTGTTAAAACACACTTGTTTAATCATCTTCTCAATCGATTTCTTTATACAACCACCTGACCTAAATGTAGTGTTCTGGTTGGTTTATAACATACTAATACCCCACTGTTTCTGTCAAAAGGTCAGTTGGCGAATAATGCCGGAACCGAATACAAAGTCACTTTTTGAAGGCCTCAGAGGACAGCTGTGCTGTGGCTTCGCAGGGGGCTGGCAATTGTCAATAAAAGTTCTGAAATTCAAACAGCATACGCAGTATACAGAGCAGTAATTCAAAGTTACTTGACTGCATTTGTACAATTCCGTAGGTACGTCGCAAAACTCAGCATGAACTCAACGGCGAACGGATCCAGCGAGTCTTCGAGCTACTTTACTCAGTTAAATTCCACAGCGCTGAAAACCGGAGGAACCGTTGCCTACTGTCTGTTCATGATCGTTTCACTGGCCGCAAATTCTCTCATTGTTATGATCGTTTATAAAACGCCGAACTTAAGAAAACCGATAAATTATTTCATCGCAAACATGGCCTCATCTGATTTGCTGTTTCCAATATTCTGGATACCTTGGACACTGTCACACTTGCATACCACCTCGTTACTTATCGGTGGTCGGCTTGGCCAGGCCTTTTGTAAACTTGTCCCCTTCTTGACAGAAGTTTCCTGGAAGGTTTCGATTCAGAATCTGGTTCTTATAGCAGTGGATCGATTTGGAGCCGTGGTGTTTCCACTCCGTTCGCCACTCATCAGATGCAAGCTGTGTCCCTTCTTCATTCTTGCCACGTGGATAGTTGCCGCAGCTGTCAGTTGGCCATACTTGTTCGCCGAAGACCTCGTTGAATCCCCAGAGAGAAACCGGTGTGATACGAAATGGAAGAAAGTATTCGGAGAGTCATCGTCCCATGCCAGTTTGCTACTAGCTTACACCATTCTGTTTACATACATCCCTGTGCTGTTGCTAGTCATTCTTTACTCCATCATTGTTATCAAGCTCAAGACACAGGTACACCCAGGTGAACAGTCCGCCAACAGTCAGCAACAGCGGGACAGAAGAAACCGAAACGTGCTTCAAATGTCCATTGCTATCGTAACAGTGTTTGNCTCCGTTCGCCACTCATCAGATGCAAGCTGTGTCCCTTCTTCATTCTTGCCACGTGGATAGTTGCCGCAGCTGTCAGTTGGCCATACTTGTTCGCCGAAGACCTCGTTGAATCCCCAGAGAGAAACCGGTGTGATACGAAATGGAAGAAAGTATTCGGAGAGTCATCGTCCCATGCCAGTTTGCTACTAGCTTACACCATTCTGTTTACATACATCCCTGTGCTGTTGCTAGTCATTCTTTACTCCATCATTGTTATCAAGCTCAAGACACAGGTACACCCAGGTGAACAGTCCGCCAACAGTCAGCAACAGCGGGACAGAAGAAACCGAAACGTGCTTCAAATGTCCATTGCTATCGTAACAGTGTTTGTGCTTTGTTGGTTACCTTTCTCTACCAACGTTTTAATCACAGAGTATCAGGACACTTCCACGCATTTATCGTGTAGTTTCTTGATATACTATGAAGTCGCCTTTTATATGGCTAACGCGTACTGTGCTATCAACCCAGTTATCTGTTTCATGTTTAGCAGTAATTACCGAAAAGCTCTTAAAAGACTCTTAAAATGTTCTTTTGCAAAGGCGTAGGTCGCAAAAAAATGTAGTTTTGGTTGAAGAGTTAAGAGTGCGAGGTTCATGGAACACTCGTGAATAAATGTATCATGACTATCAATGTATTTTTAGAAGTAATTATCGAAAAGGTCTTAAAAGAATCATGAAATGTTCTCTTGTACAGGCGTAAGTCGCAAAAATGTGCTTTTGACTGAATATGTTAAGATTTAGAGGTACGTGGAACACTCGCGAATAAAAAAAACCACGACTGCCGTTGGCGTACTTAACTGAGGATTAAGTCTGGCATGACTGCGAAATGTGACAGCATAGGCCACGTATTGTTAAAGGCTGGGCGGTAAATAAAACTCAGGGACGGACCATTAGAAACTTTCTTGGGGGGCTTAGGCAGGTGATGTACAACTGTACAACTAACAACTCTTAATTA